TTATATATTGATATTTCTCTCACAGTGCTTTCTTTCTAAACCTTTTTTTTTTTAATTACATTTAAAACATCTTTTCTACTGCTTACATTCACAATGAAGAGTTCCCATTCTTAAAAACAAACATCCTCTTAGCCATTAAATGTCATTTTAACATGTAATACAAATAGGAAATCAGATAAAAACATGAAAACAAAATAAGAAATAGGAGTAAAATAGGGTTATTTACAGAAGAAATAAGAAGCGGGTAATACCTGTCCTTTTGAAGCAGATGAGAGCAAAGAAAACAACTTAGAAATATCTAAAAATTCAGAAAGTCCAAAGAAAAACGTTAAGAAAAGATGAAAACTCCAATAACAGCTTCTTACTTAAAAACATCTTTTTCCCTTATTTGAAAGAACCGATGGTGTAAATGCTTCCACTTAAATAACACATTTTTAGAAATGTAACGACGTATAAAAAGGCTAAAACTGTAATAGCAAATCTGTTTTTTATGTCTTCAAATGTTTAGAAATAAACTGAGTTGTTTTTAAATCTCATAACAACAAATGGCTTTTGAAATCTAAAAGATTTTACCGTCTTTTAATTGGTTCTAACTGATTAAATATTGGATAGAAAATCTTTTGCNATATATATATATATATATATATATATATATATATATATATATATATATATATATATATATATATATATATATATATAATGTAATGAAAACCTCTCAATCTGAAGGAAACAAAGTACAAGTAAAGTAAGAGTAGAAAGAAAGGGAGAATTTAAACCCACCATGGTTGTAGTTAAACGCCTGAAGTGTTTGATAAGTGTATTTCCAAAAATCAACTTTGCCGATTTTCTAGGCAAAAATGTATCTTTTTAAAACTCAAATACAGTCAGGATTTCACAGAACTTAAAAAGCAAGCTTCATTGTTTCCTGCTACCTGAGAACTGCAGTGTTCTTCCTGAGAAATGCAGCGTTTTTTCCTCAGAAGTGAGGATGACCTAAAATGTGCACCATATAAAAGGTATAGCGCTTTAAAGAACGTTGCTATTCAGACACACCTACTCTGAGTCATAAGAATCCTCTGGTGGAAATATCTACACAAAGCAAGACATAAACAAATACATATTTGCTTTTTTTTTTTAACTTTTAAGCAAGAAAGAAGAGTTCTGTTAAGTTTTTACGTACTGTGATAGATCTTCACACAAGAAACTAGTAATGAAATCCTTTTTTGTGTGGTTGGCAAAATAAAATGACTAGCAGTTTGTCCAAACACATGAAACTATATTCCTGCAACAAAATCTCCTCTTTTGGGTGCTGTTGCCACCTGACGGATCAGCAGATTCTCAAGTATGAAAAGTATCACCTCCTCCACCACCACCGGCTTTCAGTGGTGCTTTCATCTGACCAGGACCTGAACCTATCACACTTCAGGCTGTGATGCGATCTACCTGCCTACACCGTATGTCCAAAACCCACACGTCGGACTCTGCGCCAAGAGATGGCGCTGGTCGGACTCCCTTGTTTGCACATGCGCAGTGCTCAAGGTTCTGGTAAATCGGCTCGCAGCTCTGC